CCCCCCCCCCCCCCCCCCCCCCAAAAGCACATGTACTGTGGCTTACGCCCTGCAGTATAGTTCATGGCACTATAACAATGCCTCCACGGCAGACGAATCTACTGTCCTCAAAGGGTCATTTCCCTTTTCCGACAGGGAAGAAAGGGATCGTCACGCGAAAGCTTTGTCGTAGAGCCGACGTGACACTGAGAATCAAAGGGAGTGATTGTGTGCGCGTGTGCATGGGACGGGATGGCACGAACTGACAATGGAGCCACAAATCTCACTGTGGAACCCGGGACAAAGGGATGTTTTGCCACAATCGATCTGCAGTCCAAAGCATTGTGTCGCCCGACCCCGCAGCCTGCATTGCATGAGAAGCAGGAAGACGCCGACATTTATGGCGCGCCGAATGGCAGCTGTAGCCCTTGCCAGGAACAAAGGGACGTGCACGTTTCGGTTGAAAGATCCGCTGCGAGGTGCAAAGCACAAAGGGACCCTGTTGTTTCGGAAAATTGTCTTTGTACTTTTACGCGTCGGGGCTGGAAAAAGACATAGCTTTGTCTTTAAGCAAACAAAGGGACGAGCCTGTGAGCGCTCACGTTGGACAAAGGGGTAGATGATTGCTGGTCCGTGAGCGCTGGGTTTGGAGCGCATGAACAAAGGAACGAGTTGCTCACGAATTATCGCAGCTTGCAAAAGCTCGGCGAGGGACCGGTATCAGCGAATGGCAAAGGTGCTTGGCCGGGTGGCAGCCAGCGAAGCGGTGGCCACTATCGGCTTTGCCAGCGATGCACGCCAAGTATCTTTGATGCTCAAGAGAGGCTGTGCTGAGCCCACTGTATACACGGAACGACGCTGTACGATCATCGCGGCGAGAAGCGAGCAGGTGCCAAAGGTTATAAGCCGGCTGCTCATCGGCTCGACATCAACATTTCCTCGTCCACTCATCTCACTCACACTCTTCCACACAGCTCTACACCGCTCTCTCGTTCTTTCGAACACCACTTCCAACCCTTTTGTCGAAATGTTCTCCATCTTTGCCCAGACTGCCTCGGTTTCCGTTTCGGAGTCCCAGACCCAGCCCACCAACGAGGGTGGCCGCAACGACGCCGTATACGGCTACTCCAGCTGCACTGTGGCCTGAGCGATGTTCGGAAGAGTAAGTCTCGCCTCCGCTCGACCAATCCAGACATTTCTTCGAGCACAATTCCTGACGACTAGCCTCTCCTTGTTACCATAGACTCCCGCCGCCATGGATGCGATCCAGGCTCTCGTCGATGCCATCGCCGACTTGTCCAGGTGGACTCGTCCACAGGGCCATTTTCGCGAGCAGTACGCGCAAATTCCGCGCTGGAAAAGACGTTAGCCGGTTTCCCACCTTTTTCGATTTCGCCTGTCACACTCTCATTTTCCTCGCGCACAGCTGAGGCCCCTCCTTCCACTTCATGTCTACCCTTCACTCTGGCCAGATACGAATGCAAGCGCGCGCATTCACCTTGTAGTGCTTCAGTCTGTGACCATGCTTTGCATGAAATCGTTTGAGCCGGGCCCCGCGCTTTAATCATCGCTTTTCCTTTTTATTCTTATTTTCCTTGTTATTTTTTCTTTTTCTTTTCTCGCAATCGAAGGGATGACTTTCTTGACAGACAAAATGTATGCGACTTACCTATGGATGCATGTGTGTGTGTGAGGGGAGAAGGGAGAGAGATTGGGGGGATGAGGTCCAAGAGCGAGTGCCCGGGGGGGGGGGGG